TTTTTGCCCTTTTTTTTTTTTAATTTTAATTTTAAATTACAAATTCTCCGTTACCGTCAGTCGCAGCTAGATAGCTCCCACACAACACACATAAAGCAAAAGCCTTTACAAAGCAAAATCTCAATTCTCGAGCCTGAGAGGGATTTTTTCTCTTTTCCTCTCGTCTCTGCTTCAAACCCATTTCACGAATCGGAAAAAAATCTACTCATCGGACTCATTTCCCGGTTCTGAACCTCTCCCGGTACCGGCTGCATTATACCGGAAAAAAACCTCTTCGATCTCGGCGATTATCCATCTCTTTATATTTCCGGTTAGTGACGATTTCCTTTCCTGTTCTTAAAATCTCTCTCATTTGTCGTTTTCTATTTGGGATTTTTCCGATTGATTTCGTAAAAGAACAGTTTTTTTTTTTGTAATCCCTATGAATGTTTCTGAAAAATCCCAGATCGAACACAAACACAAACACTCGTGTTCTAATTCTTTGTCTTGAAACCATAAATGAAAAATTAGTCCTTAGGTTTTATTCCCTAATCACGTGTTTGCTTAAATTAAAATTTATATTAACCGACAAGATTTCAGAATATGGTCCTTAAATTTTGTTTGTTTGTGTGTCTCTTCTCTTAAGTATTTATGTTGATTTTTTGATTTTAGCTGATTTTTGATTTTGCTTTTTTTTAAGGTAAAAGATCGTATGAATGTTGAATATGGAAAGAGTTTCTGAGCTTAAGAAACTTCCTAGTAAAGGTCCTGTCTCAAGAAGACAATACTTAGACTTGGAAACTAGAGATACTTCCAATGGTGTGCATTTAGAGTCTTTAAGAGAACGAGCTGCGAGATACAACAACAATGGAAGATCAGTGAATCCAACTACGACTTTAGGGAGAGAGCTAAGCCAAGTTCTGAATGTGCATAGAGAAGAGATGTTGATGAATGAATTTCAGGAGTTTGAGCCTGTGGTTTCGTCTGTTCGAACGATGAAATCAAAGTATCCTTTACTAGAGATTGAAGAAACCATGGCTGGTGATTACGATGTTACTTTTAATGATATCTCTGAAGAAGCTGGTTCTAGCTCATTCCGTGGCGTTAGTCATCCTCCTGAGCCTGATGATATGGATCTTATAACTACTGTTTATGTTCCCATCGCCGAAAAAAACAAACCTGATTCGGTTTGCTTGATGAGGAGTATGTCTACTACTAGTAAAGGACCGTTTATTGAGGATCTCTCGCTCTGTGTTCCTTCGAAGAAGCCTAGTCCGGGAATACTCTCACCTGCAGAGAGTATAGTCGAGGAGCCTGCTCTGTTCTCTCGTGCATCGCAGAACACGGAAAACTCTTTGATACCGCAAGATTCAGACAAGGAATGTGTTTGGGATGCTTCTCTGCCTCCTAGTACCAATGTGAGCCCACATAGCAGTAGTGTCGAGAGTATGAATTTCGCTCGGGCTATGAGTATTGCGAATAGCTCTTCTGGGACAAGTAGTACGCAGCGGAGTGATGTTGTGCTTAGTATGGACAAGAACTACTGTGACAGGAGTATCAGTATGGTGATGGATTCTTTCGAAAGTGCCAAGACGAGTGCAAGCAGAGCAAGCGATAGTAGCGGCCTAAGCGAAGAGAGTAGCTGGAGCAATTTCACGGGAAGTCTTAATAAGCCACACAAAGGGAATGATCCTAGGTGGAATGCTATTTTGGCTGTCCGGACTCGAGATGGGATTTTAGGGATGAGCCACTTCAAGTTGCTGAAACGATTAGGTTGTGGTGATATCGGGAGTGTCTATCTAGCTGAGTTAAGCGGAACTCGGTGTCATTTTGCTGTCAAAGTGATGGATAAGGCGTCTCTTGAAGACCGGAAAAAGTTGAATCGAGCTCAGACCGAGAGGGAGATTCTACAGCTATTAGATCATCCGTTTTTACCGACATTGTATACTCATTTTGAGACAGACAGATTCTCGTGTTTGGTCATGGAATACTGTCCTGGAGGTGATCTGCACACTTTAAGGCAACGCCAACCCGGGAAACATTTCTCAGAGTATGCTGCTCGGTATGTTTTCTCTTTCAGTTTCAATGTTTTTGAGGTTAAAATTCATTTCCTGTGATCTCACTTTGTTTAGATGTTTCACATTATTATTATTTATTGGCAGATTTTACGCTGCAGAGGTGTTGCTAGCGCTCGAGTATCTCCACATGCTTGGTGTTGTTTACAGAGACTTGAAACCCGAGAATGTTTTGGTTCGAGATGACGGTCACATAATGCTTTCTGACTTCGATCTCTCCCTGAGATGCGCGGTTTCTCCAACACTGATCAAAACATTCGACTCTGATCCATCTAGACGCGGCGCATTCTGCGTTCAACCGGCTTGTATGGAGCCTACATCAGCTTGCATCATCCAACCTTCATGCTTCTTACCGCGCAGCATCTTTCCGAACAAAAACAAAAAGAACAAGACCCGTAAAACACAGACGGATTTCTTCAGATCACACTCCGGTTCTCTCCCGGAGCTAGTAGCTGAACCTAACACAAGGTCCATGTCCTTTGTTGGAACACACGAGTACTTAGCTCCAGAGATCATCAAAGGAGAAGGACATGGAAGCGCAGTGGATTGGTGGACTTTTGGTATCTTCGTCCACGAGCTCCTATACGGTAAAACCCCGTTTAAAGGATCAGGAAACCGAGCTACTCTCTTCAATGTAGTTGGAGAACAGCTGAAATTCCCTGAGTCACCAGCGACTAGCTACGCAGGGCGGGACTTGATTCAAGCATTACTAGTAAAAGATCCAAAGAACAGATTAGGTACAAAAAGAGGAGCAACAGAGATAAAGCAGCATCCATTCTTTGAAGGAGTGAATTGGGCATTGATAAGGTGTAGTACTCCTCCTGAAGTACCGAGACAAATGGAGACCGAACCGCCTCCAAAGTATGGACCGATCGATCCGGTTGGGTTTGGTAGTAACAGCAAGAGGATGATGGGACCACCACCAGTATCAGCAGCAGCAGATACCAAATCTGGTGGTAAATTTCTAGACTTTGAGTTCTTCTAAAATCTTGTC